TGGCCTGCCTTTTTTTTTGAGACAGAGTCTCAATATGTTGCCCTGGGTAGAATGCCATAGCAGAGCACTAGGATTACAGGATTCATGCCTTTTCATGGCTTGATAACTCATTTCTTTTTTATTGCTGAGAAATATTTCATTAGATGGATATACCATGGTTTGTTTATACATTTACCTAATAAAAGACATCTTGTTGTTTCCAGTTTTTGGAGGTTATGATGAAGCTGCTATAAACATTCATATACAGGCTTGGTGCCTGTAGCTCAAGCAGCTAAGGCACCAGCCACATACACCAGAGCTGGTGGGTTCGAATCCATCCTGGGCCTGCCAAACAGCAATGACAACTACACGAAAAAAAAAAATAGCCGGGCACTGTGGCAGGCGCCTGTAGTCTCAGCTATTTGGGAGGCTGAGGTAAGAGAATCACTTAAGCCCAGGAGTTGGAGGTTGCTGTGAGCTGTAATGCTACAGCACTCTACTTAAGGCTCTGTCTTAAAAAAAATAATAATAATTTATATACAGTTTTTTTTAATCTATAAAACATGTTATTGCATGTTATTTATACCTTAGTAAAAATTATATGTAAAGAATTGATTATCAAATACAGTGTTTCTTCTATAAAACAAATAAAATAAAATGTTTCCTATTTGCCATATCTTTTAAATACAGGTGTTTTGGAGACAGAGTTTCACTTTATCATCCTCAGTAGAATGCTATGATATCATAGCTCACAGCAACCTCAAACTCCTCGGCTCAGGCAATCCTCTTGCCTCAGCCTCCTGAGTAGCTGGGACTGTGGGTGCCTGCCACAACGTCCGGCTGTTTTAAAAGATGGGGTCTTGCTCTGGCTCAGGCTGGTCTTGAGCTTCTGAGCTTGGGCAGTCCATCTGCTTCGGCCTCCCAGAGTGCTAGGATTATAGGCGGGAGCCACCAAACCTGGCTACATACAAGTTTTTATGTGAACATAAATGTTCAAATCACTAAGTAGGATTGCTGGATCATATGTTAAGATTATTTAGTTTTATTTTATTTT